TCGGCTCTTCAGTCTTTCTGTGTTTAATTTGAAACATCTATCATTCGTTGCTTTGATGTGACAATTACACGCATATTTACATACCGTACCTCATTTCCGGGGGGTGAATGAGAGGTAAAGGGAATAAAAATATCACAAACTTCGTCAGCACCCGTTCCACGCGCTGTCATTGGTTCTGAATTCCAGTGCAAATACCTGTGGCGAGCAGATTAACCATTTTCATATTGCCGTTCGATATGGCCACCACACGGCGTTTACGATTGCATTTTCCATGTTCCGATTTTACAATACGAGTTTCCGGATGAAGGGATTAGGTGAAAAGATTTACGAGCAAATATATACGGAAATTAAATGCCATTAAAACGTATCACGTTCGTATTCCGGAAGTAACAATATATACTTCACTGCCATTATTTTAATAGCAGAATTTACGAGATACGTGAGAAACAACACGAACCAGGCCATAAAACTCCACACCTTTGTGTGTTTTAACAACTGCATGCGTTGTAAAAGATTCGAAGCTTATTTTGTGTACAAAACACCCTTCACTTATGTTCAGTAATGTTTATTCCCGTATGACATTTCTGCAGTACTAGTATTTGCACGCTTACAGAAAACAGTGATGACTTCCATCGCAAAAGTATAATCAAGGACTGAGACAAATAAGGCCTGAAATGAAAATTCTCACGAAAAAAACACACCTCTCCATTTGCCTGCTGTGGTCATAAAACATCGTAATCGAGAATAGTAATTTGTAAGTAGTAGTTAATAATGATTAACACTACAATATATATAAATACCATAAAAACTTAGAATAATTTCGGAGAATTATCTAATGTAAAAATAATATCAGGTACTCATAAAACCAATTAGCCTTACCCTTTAGAAACTAATAATTAAGCAGATTACCCGCCCCTCCCTGACTTTCTGACCGGAAGGACGCAGATTCGAATCTCGACTTAGGTTGGGACTTATTATCTGGTAAATTTTATTCAGGGCGGTTCTGAGGCCTACTTAGTCTCCGTCCATGTGAGCACCCGGATCTTTCCAGGGAGTAAAGGCGGCTGGAGAGTTCGCCTCACAACCTCCTCCTTATGCCGACAGCAAAGAAGCAGTTGCAGCACTTCCTCCCCCCCCCCTTGCTACTCCCATTCTTCACCCTCCCTTAGGTCACATCAGTCTGTGTGCAATTACACGTTTACCTAAATAGATAACTGTATAATTCAACAGAGATTGGCTGACATTTGCAAGCAAACGATATTAAGATTCCTGGGACACATAGTACGAAGGAATGGAGTATGGCTTGAGAAACGGATAGTCCAAGGTAAAGTAGAAGGAAAAAGAGGCCGAGGAAGAACAGCCATGAGATGAATAGACCAATGTAAAACATTCACTGGTATGAGCCTGGAAGAGGCAATGCGGAAGGCAGATAACACAGAAGAATGGAAAAATACTGTGGGCGCCATCTAGATGGTCATCTAACTTCCGTCTGTGGAAGATCAGGACCAAAGAAGATAGATTTTTACCTCCAATATCCAGTAAAACTCGTACTGGAATATATAATTCAATAGTCCCTAAAATAAGGCTACCTAGAAGTTAGACAGATATCTACTTTGCTCGCTCCGTTTCGAATGTACGACGAACCGTAGGAATAAGCATAAACAGGGGTTTCAAGTGAATCGCTTGGAACATACGTGCAACTAAATATTGATTACTATTTTCTCCTCTAGTTAGTCCAAGTTCTTGTTAACCTAATGTGGTAATGTACTAAGGGAAGAATTGTCAGATAATTAACTTTGCTTGGATCATAAGCGAGAATTTTCTCACAATCAGTGCAACATAACCTCTCTAGCTGAGGCTACAATTCACCGTTGGATTTCGCTGAGGCCGAGGCTGCAGGGGGGTTAGAGTTCCGCGTAAGGCCTTCCATCACGTAGTTATAGCGAGGTTTGGTTCTCGAATCACCGAGTGTACCATCTGGACATTATATCATTCACAATCAATATTCTGCCATCATTTACAACTCATGTTTATTCCAACATCCTTCGTATTACACAAAAAACAAACAATTATATACACGTTTTCTTTTGACTCATGAAAAAAAGGCGGTTCTATAAAACCGTTTTCATATGGGATTTCGTACGTGGTTCTTTGACTCTCAATATTCGTTAAAGCGTCGGCTCCGAAACCCGGTATCAAGGGAACGCAGTGTTTGCGGTGCCCGGAATTTTCTCTCGCAAAAGCACGCGGAATGCACGTCGCCAACATTAATCGCCCGCTGCCCCCCTCGACAAACGGGAATGCCCGCCGACAGGGAGGGGAAATGGCGAAATGCGCTTAATCATCCGGGGCCTTGGAGCAGCCAGCGACTCCCCGAAATGAAAAGATTTCGGGGTATTGCGAGCGCTTACTTCTAGTCCCTGGGCATAAATTCTCATAAGATAGGGCGCTACCTAAGAAATACTGCCCGGACAAATAGGTACCGTCATACTGCATTGTACTAACTCACAATTCGGGCTCTTAGGCAAATGAGGAAAAGAGTTTCAGGCACAAATCTTGATATTCGTGTAGCGAGTCTTTATGTTCGCGAAGTTTTGGATCCTGTAAAGAGAGTATTACGCGTTCTGTGTGCTGATGTCACACGAACGTGGCTTCACCGACGGCGCTACCGACGGTCGTGATGGAAGAGCTGAAATACTAATGAAGTAATCTGACGGACACAAACGTGAAAGAAAAAATCACGCTGTAATGGTTCGGTGACTAACGTGTTGGCGTGTGGACGGGAGATTGTCGGTTATGACAGGATAATAGCAGACGGCACCAGAACGTCGATTCGAGAGGACGTGATTCCCCCGGTTTTTCAATGTGGAAAATTTGATTATCTCAATACAAGCAATTCGAATTCTGAAACTCCTTTTGTTTGGTCGGTGTAACGTCACAAAGAAAAACAAGCAATTAAAGAAATGCGCAAATATTTAATTGCTTATTTTGATGAGGAAATGTAAAAATGTTCTATTGTTTAACATTTTAATGCTATAATTCTTACAAAATTTTCTTCACTTTCCTTTTCTTAAAAAGTAAAGTCAACTTCATATTGATATCAATCCCATTATTGTTTCATGGTTTCAAACGCCTAACACTTTTAAAACATATCTAGATATTCGATTTTGGAGTGCAGGCATGTAATTAATCGCATATTCAACAACCTATTATTATTATTATTATTATTATTATTATTATTATTATTATTATTATTACAATGATTGTTATTTTCCGCCTAGATGGGCCTATTGTAAAATATTTTCAAACTTGAAAATCTACATTACTTTGTATTTTAAACACTACTACCAATGTTTTTCCTTTTTTAAAAATGTTAGTGCTTTTACATATAAAAGAAAAAACTTATAGAAATTGGTTTCAAGACCATCTACGATAGGTCTCGAGAAGTGGTGGAAAAGGAAAACGTCTGCGCTTTTACAGTTTGCTGTTTTTTTTTCTTCCCAAATCATGAATACAAAATGTAAACTATCGCTACATTACGTTCTTCAGTCAGTTTCACGTGAGTGATTTGTGGCCGAAGGAAGAAAACAGTGACAGGCTACGGTAGCCCAAAACAAAGGGGGTCAAGTACATTTCTGAACTCGACCTTCTTTATTAAGCTTTTTTATTAACGTATGACATTTCACCAGAAAATAAATAAAGAACACTGCAAGGAGAGTTAAGTTAAAACACACATAGTTCAATAGATGAATGCGGTTGATTTTATGTTAAACCATTCTCAGAGGGTCCAGGTAGTTTATCAAGAGGTCCAGCTAGTCCACAAATATCACATAAGAATTTCCCAAAATCTCAGGGTTAAAGAAATCAGGGAATGAATATAAAAATCAAGAGGAAATCAGGGTATAAAACAAAACAAAAAAAAGAGAGAGAGAAAATGAGGGAATGATAATATCTACGCGAAAGGAAAGTATTACGTAAGGTTAGGAGCCCAATTGAAATCGCTGAAGGGACCACGCCCCTGCCCACCGTGTGCGGGCGCCTGGGACGATGGGGCGCACGTGAGGGCGTCCGCGCGCGCGGCGGCGGGTGCGTCCTCCGGCAGATCCTCGTCCCAATTGTGCCGCCCCCATTATGCGCCATCGGGCTGACGTCAGAGCGCGAGGCGACGACGGCGCGACGCGGGCGGTCCCACGGGCGCGCGGGCGGACGCTACGCCGAAGCGGCGCGGCGCGGCGGAGGCGGAGGGCGTGGTGTGGCGTGGCGTGGCGTGATGCTGCCAAGCCGAATGCCTTCCGGGCAGCACTGACTATAGGCCTCGAAAGACTTGCCCCAATACTCCATCTCGCGCTTATTACTGAAAATCGCCCTCGCAGGACTTCTAAGAAGCACATTATTTCTATTTCAATGGTGGTCACGTTTTAAATAAGGTTTCCCAGGTTACTATCAACTAGGCACTAAGAAATAACTATATTATTTCAAATAATTCTGTTTAATGGCGGTCATCTCTTGAATAATATTATATACCTGGGCACTACGAAATAATTATGTTCTTTCTAATAGTAGTACACGATTGTTCTCCTGATGTAAATAGGATATTTGAAGTCTACTCTATCGTAGGAACTTGTTCTGAATCCTACTAGGATTGCGAACCAGGAACTTGAATCTCAGCTCAGTGACGAAATAGATCGGTAAAAATGTTTCAATTTTATATACAGAAATTAATTACACTTTGCTCAAATAAAAAGAGATGTAAGAAAATAAAGAAAACGCAATTGAAATTTTAAAAAACGAAAACAAGATCACTGAACCGATCATTTTATAGGCAACTTAACGAAAACGTCTTGAAATTTCTTCTGCATTATCCCAGATAAAATAAATAGTACATAGTGTATGATTTCCGAAATAACCTACATGTGGATTACGATCGCCGAATTTTCTCAAATGGTACAAGAACTTCATTATCACTGCATTGAGTATCTTTCCTCTCAATGGTGCATTCATTAATAATCCTTAACAATATTCCTCGTATTTTGTTCCACGTCGGCAAACGTGTGCCACTCGCTATCCCCAACATCATCATCTCCAACCCACGCATCTCCGAGAGCCGCTCCGAGACCATTTACTCGCGCTCCATTCTTCGCCCGTGCTGCGTCCGGCCGTAGGACTTTTGTGCGTAGAGCGCGCTGCCGCCTGTCAGCGCCTCCGTCCGTCGGGACGTTCACACGAGCGCGAGGCGTCCGCTGCACCCACCGGCTCCTCGTTCGCACGCGGGCGCGGGTCTTCTCGGCGGCGGTGAATGACACTTCAATGGGCGCGAAGCCAGCCTCCGGAAGTGAGCGGTCGCGGCGCACTCCATTCCGCTCGCAACCCTCCCCTCCGCCCTCATGCGGCATGCGGCAGGCCCGGCGCGTTCGGCGTAGGGAGGAAAGGGAAAGAAAAAAGAAAAGAAAAGAAAAAAGACAAAAAAAAAAAGAAAAGAAAAGAAGAAATGAAGAAAAAAAAGAAAAAAATACAAATAAAATAAAACATTTTTCTAATGTGTCTAAGTTTAATGTTATTTTCTGAGTATATATATATATATATAATATATATATATTAGTAATATATTATACTATATACAAAATTCTCAATACACCACCACTCCGTAAAAGAGAAATATTCATGAGCGGACGTTTTGCAATGAAACTTTTCAGAAATTCTCTCGACAAAATTTATATGAATTTCCAGATTCATGGGAATTCCATTCGCAGAAAATAAGATTCAAATACGCAATAAGTCGAATGAAACGCCATCTCTGGTAGATCCGGTTTTTCGACTTGCTAAGTTGAGGGCTCTCAATGGCAGTCGCACGAGTCTCCTCGTCGTCTGCGGAGCCCCGACTCCATTCCCGCCCTTGCTCCCACCGCCATCATCCAGCCCAAGCCCCGGTCGAGCACCGGCCGCGCCTCACCACCACCCTCCCGTCCCTGCCCGGTAGCCGCCTCCACCGGCTTGGCCTCCCCTGACTTGTCCACCTCAACCTACGACCCCGATGCCGCCACCAACCGCCTACCATGTGACGATACCTTTGCCATGTCCCTTCCCGGCTCCTCCCCAGTCCCTCACCACCGTCTGCGCGTTCCCTCCCGCTCGCCCGCGCCCATCCGTTGCACAGCCGGCACCGCACCATCCTCGGCCTCCTCTGTCTCGTCCACCTACGTTTCCCTCTGCCCCCGCCCTGCATTCGTCCTGCCGCTCCCGTCTCGTCTCCTGCTATGTCGCCTCCACCACCCTTTCTGCAAGCACTGATAGTCTCCTCATCCCCCGCCTTCGTTCCTACGTCCTGTTTGCCTTTCGCTCTTCGCCCCCGTCTCCTGTTCACCACACCCCTGTTCCACAGCCTCCATTCCCCGGCCGTTAACCTTCCCCAACCCGACGCGCGAGGTGTTAATACGATCGGACTGGTATACCAATTCAAACCCATCGACAGCGGTTGATTTTTAAGGGCCAAAAAAGAAAAAAATCACCTCGTCCAGCCGTTCCTTCGGAGGGAAGTAAAGCCGGCTGTCCCATGTTGGGTCTAGATTTAACATTGCAATGTAAAAGATCACACAAGCCTAAGTGACGCCTCTGACATAAATTTCAAAAGCGCCTGTTTCTTCGCCTAGAAAAACATTCCTTTCTTTGCTAGATGTCGTGAAAGGAAGCGTCGCAAATTTGTCAGACGGGAAGAAGCGGGCTCTGATGCCCGAGTCTCGCCCACGTCAAATAAGGCATTACTTCAATTCAATTCAAACCCTGCCATAGCCGTCATCGCCGTCTCTCTCGCCTCCTGTTCCGCTGCTGCTCTGCATTCCGTTTTTCACGCCTCTCTCCCCGTTCCTCCACCGAAAGGCCTCTGCTGCTCCGCCGATGAAAGGCAGCTCGGGTCGCGGCGGCGGCGCGCGGCGTGCGAAGGGTCACCGCCACTCCGGCGCCATGAACTTATGCGTGCACCGCGGCGAACCTGCGGCGTAACGCGCACGCGCGAGGCGGGGGCGCGAGGGGGCGCGAGGCCGGGGCGCGAGGCGGGGCGAGCGGGGCGCGGCTCTGGGACGGGCCGGCGCTCCTCCGGCGGGGGCGGAGCGGGCCTCAACTTCGGCATCGATTCCCCGGGGAGGCAACCACCTTCGGATTTATGGGCGCGGACGACACACAGCGAAAGGGGCCACATTCAAAACAGGCTGGCATTTTGTTGGAAAACAATTTCAGAACACGTAACAAGAATGTATATATAGCTTTATTTTCGAATGAAATATAGAGTGTTAATGATAACTGGGTTATGTCATTAATGGATAGTGTCTCTCTCACGGTTCTCCTTAACCCCTACTAGGATTTTAAGCGCTTTCCTCGATACTATTATTATGTGCTGATTTTATCAATCACTATGCAAATAGCTTAATATTTTAATACTTTATTTTGGTGTGTTGATATTTTATTACATAAATTAGGAACTAAAACTATTGCACAATATTACCACTTTTGTGAGGCCACTTTGGTGTTTTTCATTGTATATAAAGCATTCCTACAACTTGAATTTCCGTCGAAATAATAAGATCGATATATGGCACGGATACAATGCGATGAACCCGAGGACGTTAAAAGCCCATGAATATGCGATACCTTCATTTCTCAATCCGTTGCATAATAACTACAAGTAGTACAACTTCAAAAACATTGAGAGTATTTTTCTACAAAATGGCATCTTCTCTTTCACATAGTGGTTACACGTTTCTTTTACTTGTCATACCAATTTTGTATCATAACAAAGATAAAACATGTCTTTTCAGGATTTTCGTAATGCCTGTTTACAGTACACAGTGTTCTAATGTAAATAATCCATTGAAACGTCAACATTTATTAATAATTAATTTTAACGCAATAAGTCGCCAATACGTCACCAATTAGTTCGAGGCGCTCTGGTTCAGAGGATCAATTCCCTTTTGCCAACTCCGACGTCACCCGACCTCCCTTGACCAACCTGAGCCAACCATCGAGGCGAGCTGACGGCCCCGATGTTCGGAGCTGCCTCTCCGTTTCAAAGCCCTTCCGCCCGCTCTGGTGACGGAACGTTTCCTGCGTGGCTCTCAGGGTTGCTCAAACGCAAGGACTAAAGCCAGACTGAGCGAGGTTGCCCGCTGCAATGGCCCACGTGCCACTAGCTTTTTCGCTAGACTAGAGCGATCGCACCCGAGCGTCCCCTTCTCACTGGCTGACTCTGAAACTTACAGACCGGTGGCCTGCGGTGATATTTCCTTCCCGTTCGACTTTCGTCTTTCAAGGATTTTGACGAACACAATGTTCTACACTGTGAGTTTACTTGCCCAATGAATTTACTTGGCCAAGGTGATAAGCGCTGAGTCAGGGTACGCAAAGTAGGCTGCACACTTGAGCAGTTATGCACTAGCTCACAGATATGCCATTCCGCTCATCTCACATCCTGGTTAAAAGATTGCAATGTTCAGTAAACATAACGTCATCTGGCCTACTATAAATAAACTTATGAAGAAATAATCTACTTAAAATGTAATATTTCTCACAGAAATTTAAACGTCAAATGAATTCTAAATTTTAGGTACTGTTTATCAGCAACTTTTTATATGAGTTAATCTTAGGTAAACTCCATGACTAGGGTTATTTTTTGTAATGTTATGTATTTTCTTATGGTTTAAGTTAAATGAGAGGTGGAGAAAAAGAAGTGAATAATTATCAAAATCGTATTTTATCCGTAATTTATTACAAAGTTTCAATTTAAACTATTGATCTTAATTAATATTTACGAAATATAAGACAATGAAACTGCTTTCTATCAGTTTTCATTTGAAACCGTTTCCATACGATGTATTGGAAATTGGGGGGTTCTCAAATGCTTTCTACTCACCTACTTCCTCCCCCTTTCAAACTACATCGCGTGAGCTACGTTCTTTTTTATCATCTAATGAACACAAACAATACATCTAAAATGAATGTTGCGAGCTTTTGTAAACCCATTTAATGAAGATCTATTAGAAGTACACACCCACAAAACCATGAAATTACATCTCCTGACCGTTTCATTTTTAATTTCATCCTTTGTAATAATTTCCAAAGAAAGGCCAGCAATGCAAATAAATCACACAGTACTCTTACCTCCCCGTCCAGTTGACCCTCGTCCCTTTTTCAATCAGTCGTGATTGAGCACTCTAGAGATCCACAGTACTCGCGCTCGAGTGTCGCAGGAGCACGTACTGCTCCCCTGGGCCAAGGAGGAGGGTGGAGGAGGGCGGCGGCGAAAAACCATCGACGCGACGGTGAGGCGAGCTTCAGGGGTAACCGCGGGGCACCGGCGGAGCGGAAAGGGATAGAGGGAGCGGGCAGGGAAGGAGGGAGTGGGGTGGAAGCTTCTCACCGGGAAGTGATGGGAAGGGGTGGCGCAGGGTGTGGAGAAGTGAGAACTTCCCGCTGATAAAACTGAGGGAAGAAGCGTGGGTCGTGGAGAGAAGCGGAGTGGAAGTCATGGCTGGGATGGCAGAGTCAGGGAGAGATGGGCAGGGGGAGACGGGCCCGTGCGGAACGTGGGAGAGTGGGGCGAACCAGGATGAGACGGACGGGGTGGGGTGTGGTGAGGGTAAAACGGGTCGAGCAGTGGTGAGAGGGGGAGCGAAGCTGAGCAGGGTAGAGCGGAGTGTAGCGGGGAAGTGCAGGGTGCAAGAGAGGCGGGGAAGGGACGGGGCAGGTAGGGGTGAGCGCGGCGGCGGCGTGGCGGGGAGGGCGCGGCCCCTGCGGGAGGGGGTGGGCGAGGGGAGGGACGAGCTGAGATGTTCGAAGCAAACGGGCGAGCAGTGGCGAGAGGGTCGAGAAAGGGAGCAATGGAGCTGGGCAGGGTGGAGCGGAGTTTAGCGGTGAGGTGCAGGGTGGAGGCGAGGCGTGGCGGGGTTGGACTCGGGACGGGTGCCAGCAGTGGAGTGGAGTCGGGGAAGGGGCGGGGCGGGCGGGGCGGCGGAAGAAGCTTCCCGTTTGCTTTGGGGCTCCGTGTGGGCAGCCCTGGCCTTTCGTGAGAAGGAGGACGTCTCTGGAGAGGCGGAAGGGCACACTTTGCTCGCGAGCGTTTTCTCCGAAATGAGAAGTTCAACGGATCCGAGCTGGGTCTTCCGGTTTGTCAGTTTAGGTTCCATTACTTGGTGATTCGATTACCTACGTTGCTATATAATCTCTTGATACAACAGGTATTCTTTCTGCTATATATAAGGTTTCAGTCGATACTGACGATCTTCAAACACGCGAGATTGCAGAGAGTATGTAGAATAATTTATTAAACTTATGAATGCGAGTGACACGGAAAAGGAATACGAACAGGAAAAGGTATGAAGTCAATGATAGTCGCTTCAGTTCTACAATTGTTTATGTCAAGAAAATATTTTCTAACTTTTTTATGTGTACGTCCCAGTCAGTTATATCTAGTTTCATTAAATCCAGTTGATCATCGCTTTGAACTTCAGTCTTCTTGAAAATAAAAAATGAATGACCGAACCCAAGAACCTCATCTCTTTAGGAAGCTCAAGAGGTCAATATACACATCAACCTTATACGATAGAACACAATCTTTGTTCTCCAATATTAGAATGTAACTGTTTGACCCACTAATCAACCATAGATCGATCGAAAATAAGACGTTTGTTTATTGATCACAAGACCATTTTTTGAGTGCTCATCAATTCAACTCCTAGAAATTCCCTGTGAGTAAAAGGAATAAACACATCTGACAATTTTTTTAACCATTAGTTTTTAACTAAAAGTAAAACATTTGCCCGACATGTTGTAGTCCACATTTTAGTTCTCATGTCGGGCTTGAAGCGCGGGGGCCGATGTTGGTCTCGGGAGCAGCGCGACGTCCCGTCCGCGTGGCGAGTGGGGGCGAGGGCGTCTGTCGGTGGGGGCGGCGCTCGCCATAAAGCTCCCACCGCTTCCGCTGGCGCAACGCAGTCGCCTCCCAGCTGCCCTGCGCTGCCCCTCCCGCCGCCCGCGCGAGCGTTCTCATTGGCGTCATCAGCTGTCGTTCGAATCGCCAGGAACGTCGCGGCTGCACGCTCGATGCGCCCGGTGCCGCGTGCCTTGAGACGGCTTCCAGCGCTGCCGAACGGCGCTGCATCCGCAGTAAAGTTACACAAGCTCATTACGAAATTTTACAGTGACGTCAAACTGGTCCACACTGGCCAGCAGCGACTTATGAAAATATTGACTCCAATATTAAGGTCATAGTTTACGGTTACAAATCGTACTGAGAACTCGGTAGGAACAATATCAACTCACTTAAAAAAAAGTATAGATCAGACAAAATTATAATCTATATAATATAACACTCATGCTATTTAAAATTTCGTTAAGTAAATTTCATAAATGATAAGTTAAAATCCTTAACTTGACGCTTTTTGGCCGTAATAACAGTGTTGGCTATGCCAAAAACTGGAGATTTTAGAAATTATGTTGCAAATTGAAAATGCAATGAAGTTGAAAATGAAACTGAAACCGACATTAAATATTTATCAGCAATTATACCACGAGTCGCCTTCCAAGTGTCGCACAATGGGCCAAAAGGGAAAGAAATAATGAAAGTAGAGGTGAAAAGAAATGGGAAAAAGTGTTATGCACAACTATTGCAAACCTCATATCTCAAGACGCAGTAAGTCAAATTGTTAAATCGAATAGCAGATGAAAAAGAAAAAAAGAAAAATGTTTATGACAAATCCTATTTACGACGGATTCACAGTTACTTCCAGCTAACAAGAGCAGTACATTTTAAACTGTCTTTACATCATATTCTTAAAAATTACGAAACTATTGACAATATCGAATAGCTTCGTTGTCAATATTGCCGCTAGAAGTAACTTTCAATGTTTGTTTCTAACTACCATTTACGTTCCCAGCCACATGTCTTCCGTGCATCCTCTGATCCAGCAGCGAAAAGCGTTAGCTATCCTAGCTTTTATACTCTATCCAACCCCGCCCAAAGCCACACAACCACACCCAACTCCACTTAGTTACCCGCGCTCCACCCATCGCATCGCGAGATGGATAACCTGTTCTGGTTTGCTTTTCTACGTTAACATTTCAATGGCATTCTCTTATAAAGTAATTCGACATTATCTTCTAACTTACATCGATACATTTGCTGTACTTCAATTACAGCTAAACAATTAATAATATCACGAAATTCGTTTCAAATTTTTGGATATTTTTGTTAAAATGTTCATAAAATAAGCGGAAGAAAGGGAGATCTTTATACGTTGTCAGCACTGTTAGTGTAGTTATTAGTTGATTACTTTGTGCCATTGCACGTGGAAGCGACCATCCACACTAGCAACACAACCATGGCACGCGCAGTATAAAACAAATAGGAGCTAAACACATTTCTGAGCCTATTTGGGACCCCATGAAACTTTTTTTACATATTTTTTTTCAAATAAAGGAATAGTAAATACAACATACTACAGGGAAACTGACGTTAAACATTTTAATGAAGCAAAAAATAGATACAATTATTTTACTTTGAACCATTTACAAGGTTGTCAGATTTTTTCTCAAATATGTATAAATTCCCCAACGTATCAGATTAAAAAGCGGAGAAAACAAAGAATAGATCATATTTATGGAAATAAAATGTTTTATTATGTATGGTTACGTTTCCTTTACGAAATTTTCAAGGGGCCACGCCCCCCTGAAAGCCCCTGTTCCCCTGTTCGCACGGGCTATACTAGAATTTCTTTAACCATGCACTTGACGTAAATCAGCTGTTCACGCTTTCATCCAGTCGGGAGCTTGGACGTTGCCATAGTGATGCCACTGTAGTGACATATAAGCTCCCGATTGGATGAAACCGCAACAGCAGATTTACGTCAAGTGTACGACTAAATAAATCGTACTTAATCAACGCAACGCAACGCAACGCAACGGGCCAAACAAGCCGCGCCCGAGACCGGCGCAGCAGGTAGGCCCAGCGGCGCGGCCCGGGGCGGGCGGCCGCGTGACCCACTGACGGCGGCGGCGGCGGGGAGGGCAGGGCAGGGCCGGGCCGGGCCAGGCCGGCAACGCGAGGCGAGCCGAGGCGAGGCGACACGCAGGCCGCACGCAGCCGTACGCAGCGCGCCCGGGAATGTGGCACGTGTTGGGTGACGTCAGCGCCGTGCCGCGCGCTGCTTCCAAAGGAGCGATATGGCCGGGCGATGGAGCAAAGGAGCGATGTGTAAACCGCTCGAACCTAAAAACGCGTCACGGTGGGTGATGTATGCTTTGAGACATCGAGATTGTAATCATCTAATTTCAAAGGTAGCTATAGGTGTGATGGACTGAAAATCCATCTGAGATAAATTCAGAAATTAATTTCTTTACGATTCTGCATAAAATGGACGCATCGAATTGAGACGACACTTTCACATTAATAAGTAGCATTGTTTGCGTCTGGAAAAAAATTACTTTTCGTGATGTTGAGGCAACTCTCACCATACAAATAAACGCTGATAACAAACAGTGACATTGACGAAAGTAATTTAAGGAATTCGTAGTTATAAACATTATTCATTTTACCACGTTACTCATTTAAACTTACGCATGCGAGTCAGCAAGTAAAAAGTAATAACTTGGGAGGTCCAATCTACATGTCCGACAACTAAGAGTGACAGATGCTACCATTTGGTAACTACATCTCTACCACGGCATCTCTGATTGATTGGTTTGTGAGATTTTCTCTTATCAATTCCAGGATTCTACGGCCACCCTTACGCGATATTATTCATTTTAAATCGATTCCTTCTCCTAGTCTAACACTAAGGACAGCCAACTGACGAACGGATTTCCCAATTCCCTACGACTCTACGTCTACGTCTCTACGTCTCTTCGGCAGTCACTTGAGACGCGCGAACGAGAGATAGATGTGAAACCTCACAAAATTCCTCTCTGGTTAATCTTAAAAAATGAATACATACATCAGAATCAAATAGCATTATAACTTTAGGCATCTTTATATTATTCATTTGGTGAACGGAATTACATCTTACCTATACTATCATAAAAACAGTCAAAGTAGAATTCCTTATCATCGGAATACCCAGCCAGCGTTTGTTCGTGATAATAAAATGATAGATATTGTCCGAACGATTATGATAAATCCTAGAGGAAACAAGCGCGTGCTTTTGTGCTTTGGGCGCACTGTGCGCGTGCGTGCGTCGTCGCCCGGATGCGCCGGCGCCGTTGCACTCGGAGAGCTGCACTTGCCGCGCCGCCGCGCGCTCCTTGAGGTGCCCCATCCGGTGACGCCGCTTCCATAGCCGGCGAACGTCAGTGGCGCCTCCCGTGGGCGTCTAATGAAAGACGGGAAAAAAGTAAAGGAAAACGAAAGAGTTCCCAAGTCGTCGTCGTCGTCGTCGTCGTCATTATTATTATTATTATTATTATTATTATTATTATTATTATTATTATTATTATTATTATTATTAGGGTTATTATTATTATTATTATTATGACATTCTAGAACGCTTGCCCTCCATTACCATGACTATAGAAAATTACTAAATAGCTAACAGACACTTATCAGTCACTAGAGCATCAACGCTCGAAAATATGTTATCTCTCGGGAAGTGACGAGAGCTGTAACTCCCGTGCAAAACACAATCTCTTAAACTTAAGCCATACTGGCGATGGGTTTGACAACTGGGTATGTAACAGGTCTTGTTTCTACGCCACTTTCTCAGAAGTAACGCTTTCAAGAAATCCTTAAAGACAAAGACTATGAGTTGGAAAGAGAAACTCTTTCGAATTATTCTTAATTATAACGTTACATTTTCGCACATTTCGCCTTATTTAACGGAAATACAACTGTAAAAAAATGTTTTATTGTTTTATATTATTGCTGTTTTCGAGACACATGACTGAAAAAATTCTAGTTAACTTGAAATATTGGAGGGAGACAATAACCCTAAGTTTTTGCGAAATCAGAAATGCTTCACTTAAGGCAGTTACAGTTTGCCTTTCATTTGAATCGGAGATAACAAGCACGTTCGATGATCAGAAGCTTCAAATTTTGAAGAGGAAGCAAAAATGTTGTAAATTTCGAACATCGATCATTTTGTCTTAACTTTAATAGTAGAAGCACACTCTACAGACGTCACGCAGTTCACGGACAACGAAGTTTTATGCGTAGAAAGTTGAATTTATATTTTAAGTACAGTTTCCCCAGCGTTAACTCAAAACTGGCAAAATGTGACATCGAACCTTTTTGTTTGCACCGATTCATTTTTACTTTACATCGGTGCCACATAAAAAAAATCTTTCTCAGTTTTTCCCCTCCCTAATAACTCGACAAACATCAAATTCACAGAGAACTCCGAATGGAAACCGTGCTAGAACACATTAAAAGAGTAGCAAATAATTTCTATTCTTCCCTCCCCTCATCTCATCCCGCTCTGAAATTCCACCTAGGCCGAACAGCAAACATCCCAAGTCGAATCAACTCTAGAAAAGATATGCTTAAATCTCCCTAAACAAATAATATCATTCCGTATCTCTGCATAATCTTTTACGTTTTCCTTCCTATTGCACGGCATGGCAATCCTAACAATTTATCCCCCTCCCCCCCCAAAATTAAGATTAAATTCCAGTAGCTTCTAGAAGAAAACGAATGAAAAATGAGCCAGAGTATTTAACCTCAATTTGTCAAAAAAGGCCTAAATCCCCAAAAAAAGTCAGCATGTAAAACTGAAACCCCTCAAAAAACCTTTGGTCGAACGAGAAGAAATAAATTTAAAAAAATAATAATAATAACAACTCCACCACCTTCCACCTCCCAGGCTTAGATCACTTTCCCTGTCGTCGCTACCTCCTCCCTCCCCCGTGACTCACTCTCACCGTGTGCGCACACGCGGTGCTACCCGCCGCCAAGGCACGCACACGTGCCGTCACGGCCCAGCGCACGGCCCGGAAGCCCCGGGGCCATACGTCCGCGCCCACGCGAGCACGCGCCCGCACGCACCCGCACGCGCCCGCACGCCCTCCGAGGCGCGCCCCTACTGAGGGGAGAAAGTGACGGCTATTGTATATTCCATGAACGGTGGGCAGGTCATGCGAAACCTCTGTTCCTTGTGATGAAGAGGCTCGGAATCACGGCCTGCTCCCTCTACGAATCACACTGGCTTCAGAGCCATCTTTACCACCTGCTCTAACCGGAAGGTCCCAAGGCTAGAGTACCGAAGTGGCAGATTTTTGACACTAGCACTGTGTACGAGAATTCTAGCGGCCGCCTACTCTGATCGGTAGTTCTCCTTTCAACACCAGGCGAATGCCGGCGCAGTACCCTAACAAACGGGCAACGTACCGCGCGCCATCTTTCCTCTGTTTTCCTTGATCTATCATCACCCCTTACTCACACACACTTACATGTACACTACCACTCATGTTGGGAGACCAGTCGGAAGTTTGTACAGTTTGTCCCGTCTGGGATGGTGTCCCTTGCGAGGGACACTTGGGAAGAACAACTTACATTTATTATTATGATTGTAGTTAGGTTTTATGATATGCATAGTTGTTTAGACCCGACGAAAATAATATTAGAATAAAAACTTTTCATCCATCATAAATACACTGCTGTAATGAACAATATTTTGAAACGAAAAAAATATTTTGAGAAAATTCTTGTTTACTTTGACATTTATTTGTATTATTAGTCGAAAACATTAATAATAAATATGTGCAGAATATCTCCAATCGAAGCGTTATTTTGGTCGATACGAAAATAATCAACCTTCATGACTCGCAGCATTTACCAATGAAGTTTGAAGGCCGCACGTTAAAAAAACGTTGGCCTTACACTGGGGCCAAATAGCACATCTGTCCTAGCGTTCTATTATCTTTGTTTCTCTAAAGTCCTCTCGGAATCGTAAGAGCCGAAGTTGGCTCAGCAACGCCTTTGCTTGTTTTTCCTCTGCCGACGTGACAGAACCCGGCGGGTGAGTTTGGTACGAATGGACTTCAACAATAAACGTCTCACATGCGAATGTTTCTACCCAAAACTTCCGAAGGAAGGAAGATTTTGCAAACGAGTAACATGACTAAAATTGCAAATATGTAATAGAGATTTAAAGGAGATACATTTTAATAAGCATTAATGTTGCCATAGAAGACAAAACAAAAACCGAATTTCATTAACATTCGACAAAATAATAATAGTAGGAGGAAATCATTATCTGTCAGAATTATGTAGTAGTTCATTTCTTGCAACAAAAACATTTTAGCGATATGAAAATGCAATAGAATCGATAGAAGAAAGCGATAGAAGAAAGTATGTTAATAATAATTTGATTGATTGTACAAAAACAAAATACAACCAGGTATTAGGTTACGAATTTGTAAAGATAATGTAAGAACTTTGTGATACGATAATACAAACGGATTGAATGATAATACAAACAGATACAAATATTCATTTGAAGATTCGTTCGCCACATGGTAGCATCTAAACAACCTATATATTTATTTGCATATACTTTACATCGGTTGTGTAGGCCATTGTTACCTATGTATTGGACTTGCGGTGACAAGCTGGGACGAATTAGCCAAGACATGTTAAACTGACGGCTCAAGGGCCGCATACCACAAATGTTTATTTCTAGGGCCCGTCGGAATTTCAATAAAGGTGTGTTGAGCATCGCAAGAACGCAAAACTAAATAAAATAAATTTAACATTCATTTTAATCACAATGAATCAACAAAAATAAAAGTAAGCCGTTCATTATTAATTGTTGTTTATTCTCTTCGCAACTAATTGTAATTGTTTTTCCTAAATTATATTTTTTCTCTCGTATAATTAAAATAACCTGGTTTTAATTTTGATATTAAAGTACGGTAATCTTATATAAATATTTGGTAGTGAAACTTAAAAGAATAAGGAACAAAATGCAAAGCTACCAAGTGATAATCATAAATTCGATGGTGTTCAGAAGAAGGCTGTTTAGTCACTTTCTGTGAAGGTGAATTAATAAGGCAGTGGGTATATGCACGTCAAACTCTTCTATTACAATGTAGCCCATTTAATGTATTTGAAATATTCACTGCTTACAATTACGAAACTATTTATTTTCTTCAAATTCAATTTGATGACATCCTATCTCTACCCAACACCACGGAATTCTAATGATTTGAAAAATGGAATGTCGTCGCTGAAATTTTGTTGAGCAACTCTTGGCGCCGGAAGGTGCCGTGGCGGCGGGTGGGGGTGGGACGGATTGGGGTGTTGCGTGGTGCANNGGAGGGGCGGGGAGGGAGATGGCGAATTGGGCCAGATGCGGGCGATAGGCGCTTCGCCCGGCGTTCGCAGCCGTTCCTCGCCGACCGGCAGCCGCTGCGCAGCGCCTGCAAATACACTCGCCCACACCCACTCATACGTGACGCACTTCCACATGACCTTGCGCACTCGCCCGCAAGGACAAGTTATCGCTTTCAAAATCGTGAACTGATGTTGTGGTTCGGTGGAAAACGCAATTATCCAACCCATGGGTGAGATTTCGAGCAGAAATCTGGGGCAGAGTGCATTGAGGGTCATAGAGGGCCTCCAATTAAAAGTCTCATTTCTTCATTTTTATTCCGATAAAAAAAAACAATATACTAAATTTAACCCCGGGAATAAAGTTATTTATAAACCTAGAGATCAACATACCCATGATTCCGCAAGACGAAACATCACTGGCGAAATGTTTCTTGTCGTAGTTGCGGAACTGTTCTCACGCACTGTTAACATGATTCTGGTGGAAATTCTACTAGAGGATCTTTATTTGACCATTTAAAGAATTTAAAAAGTACTATTTAGTTCTATTTTAACTAGTTTTAATGTGTATATTTCAAACAAAACGTGAAATGTTATATAATTATTTTTATTAGAAAATTTTCCACAAATGCTAATATGTAGAAGTTCAAGATTACGGCATAAAATATGAAGGAATTCGGCAATGTTTTGTTCTCGTAAATTGTCGTGAATTCAAGAATTGCGAATTTCAGAGATCAATATAGCGATTGGGTTATTTTTAGTACAGTGCTTCCAAGCTTTAAGTTATTGTAATTCACAGAAGTGGTTAATTGCATATACCTATTATCACGGTATAATAGTATCGTGCTAGTCAATTTTTCTCTGCTCCAATTAGATTCATCCTACACTCCTAATCTCATTTCGCGTGCACGCGTGCATAGTGCAGACTGCTACCTCATTTCCTCGGCGGCCAACGGTCCTCGACGCGAATAACGGGCTCTCATTCATATTGAACCTGTGTGTACGAGCCTTTATGGTTCTGAATTGCCTCGCCAGTATTTCGCCGATTGCGAAAAGTAGACTAAGGGTAAACAATATTTTTTTAAAGGTGCACTCACTTTTAGATCTGAAATGAATAAATATTTTTAATGTTGAAATACATTAAAAATAAGAGTGGATTAATTGTTCAGTACTCTGGGACTATATGATTAGTATTGAATATTCATCAAAAAAGTTCATATCAGCCCATTTTGTAAATTTTGTTCACCTTCTATCTGAAAGCATTGTTTTTGTTTCAAATACTAACATTCTTACATCCAGTTTACCTCCGAGTACTCAATTACCTCCATTCATGAAGTACTCTTCTTAAACTGGGACGGATTATTTCAGCATAATTTTACCGTTTACTTATATTATTTAAACAGAATTGTATCTCTTTAGAGACAAAATAAAAGTTCCCCAGGACTTAGACATTTACGGGTTTTTATTATTGGCTTGTGACATCTCAAGTAATCAGTTACTCGCTTAAACCACTTTTAATTTGTCTTTGTGTTGTAACCGTTGGAGTTCTTCAACTAAAAAAGAAAACCACAACAACTTGGTTAAACGTTTTTGATGTTCACAGCATACAACTTACCTAGTTCTATAGAGCTATTCTTCCTTCAAATTATAATAGTACGACAGAATTCATATTTATTTCAGTTTATCGTTAAAACAATCCTAAGTGATAAATATGTGTTCTAGTAAGGAACAATAATTACTCTCATCACAAATCAGATCAGACGACGCAGATCAAATGTGTTAATTGCAATTATTTCTAGACTGTAAAGCCATAAAATACAGCGAGATAGCTTCAAAATTTTGTGGAAAGTGGTACCACTTCGGACAGAAAGCTTTCCAAATTACTACGCCAAAAACACGCGAGGGCATATATCTCCTTTACGCCTTTATTATACCGAGAGCTACCTTTTACGTAATGTGCTCCCCCAAGCCTTTATACAATACCTTTCAGCGCCTAGCTGCAGAGCAATAACTTTCAACACATACCCAACACGCCGGGGCAAAGGCTCTGAAATAGCCATGTAATGAGATCCCGAAATTTGCTGAAGGAGCGAAAAAAAAGTACCGTTACTGAAAAAAAATAAATAAACAAGACCTCCCTTGGTCGTGGGAGACTCTAATGAAGTTGCGAGCAAAGAGTTTATAATTAGTTTTCGTCGGGCTTGCAACGTCTCAATTCGCGTCGACGGTGCTCGTTTGCTAACGCGAGCTTTCGTACCGGGCGGCCAGCAGCGCCGACGGCGATGGGGTGGGGATGGGAGGGAGGATGGATTGGGAGGATGCGGGATGGGAGGGTGGAAGGCGACGCAGGAACGGGCGTTGGCCGGGCGCTCAGTTTGTGACGTCACGTCAACAGGTGGCGGCGGCGGCGGCGATGGCGGCATCGGCGGTGGGAGTTACCAGCCGACAAGCGACGGTCACGCGATTTCCCTTCATGTGGAACGAGCTCCCGACGACCTCCACTCAACCGGCACATAAACGCCCCAAGAGACTCGCTTAATTGTTCATTCTGTTTACGACAGTCGCTTCGGGGCATTAATATAGCCAGCGGAAATGAACAAGCATGATTAGCACTCGAGAATCTCCAGACTCTCAGCAGGATTACGGATATCAAAAGACCTGAGCATTCGAAACGAATGCCAGCAGAAACAACATAAAATTTAATTCGTCGATGTTGGTTAAACATTATCAGGTGTTAAGGAAATTATTAGGTCCACTTATTTGATTTTTCAAGTTTTTCATAAATAAAATACTTTTTATGAGCTAGCTACAAACGTTACAATGATCATCAATTCATAAAAAATTCAAAATAAGATGATCTAGAATGAATATGGAGTAACGTTGTTTTATCAATGTCTTGAGACGCTTTGTAAGGCAGTAAATTGTTTACGCTGACATCGAACTATACTAAGTAGAAATTCGTCGCTGACATTAGAACATCGGTTGATATAGAGATAACTCTTTGGACTTCGGCGTAAAAAATCACAAACATGTCTTATCGTGAGTGTGGGATAAACAAATTGTGATCATTGTTGACACCCACGAAATGTTTTACAGATATTATCTGAGATTTGTGTCATTGTTCCTAGATGGAAGATTCTTGTTGAATCACGCAGCTTGTCACAACTTCGTATACAAGGCAGTAAATTGTTTACGCCGACATCGAACTACGTATACTAAGTAGAAATTCTTCTCTGACATTATGACATCGGTTGATCGGTTGTATATGGTAATATCTGTACCTTGGTCATCCCATGATACTGAAGGCGCCTCTGTTAATCAATTTACCATCACCTCTCGCGTAGATATTGAAATCCTGCATGTGGCAACACTGAAACCTTGGGTCTCGGCAATCTGGAACCAGGGCCTACTTGCCTACCCCGGTGGATCCAGCCTTCGACACGTCTCAGTGATAACGGGGAAACTGCTTTTCCAGCAATCGAACCGAGGACCTTCAGCGCCACAAGCTAACATGCTTCACTGAAGTAGCTGTTATACAAAGTAATAAATATTTTTCTACACGCTGTTTTCAGTTATATTATTTATATTTATATTTTTAAGTATGCACTTTTTAATTATGCTCATAGTATATAATATACTATGCTACTATATTAATATATATTATATTAATGCATACTATATTAATGCATGAATGTCAAGCAAACACTTTTCAGCCGGTAATCCAAATGTGATGACATTTTAATTATTTATTTTCCAAACATGGAGTCGTACAGCTTACTTTTATCTCGAAATTCAATCAGTAATACTTTACAAAGAAATGTTTCATACAATTCGTAAAGCATGTAGGTATTGCGGTACGTCGATGCGTGCTTGGCGGTCGGAGCATGGTCGAGGAGCAGAACGAGGCAAGGTGAGATGGAAGTGGGGGACGGAGCGGGTCGAGGGAAGGTAGAGGGGAGGAGGGGAGGAAGGGGTGCCGTTGATGAGAGTGGGCGGGGCGGATCGTAACGGAAAGGGCGAAGCAAAGCAGAGCAGAGTGAAGCAGAGAGGGGACATGGCGATGTTGATTATATAATTACTCCCATTTCACAGTATAGACAGAACATGTTAATTTAACTGACCTACTAATATAGAACATACTAATTTAGTTGATTGGGATAAATACATACCCTGGCTACGCCTGGCCACTTCGGCTGATAAGCAATAGAAACAAACTTTAATTCGTTGGGTCTATCTTCTCTAGCATATAACCAAACAGCAATTTCAGAGCGACGTGCGATCACAACATCGAATATCCCTTCACAGGGAAAGAAAAATCACCACTATGATTGCCTCTCCTTCTAAGGGGACGACGTAGATTCCTTCCCTTCTACACTCCGACAACAGAACGGCGCTCATAACACGAAACACCCACAAACGCGGATTGTCCAGGAAACACATCCCATTGCGCTTCAGCTTAATCGATTTGTTTTGCTCGCATGCTGAAGAGATGACAAAATCCAACTCTCCCTCACGCGTTTCGAATGCCGGGTGCCGCGCCGGCGGGGTGCCAGCGGCGCGGCGCGTGAATTTGTGCGTTCGGCGTGATGGTGGAAGGGAGAGGGGGAGGGGAGAGGGAGGAGGGGCGTGGGTCGATAGCGGCGGCGGCGCGCGTGCCGGAGCAGCGCGCCCTTCGCTGGCTGGGCGCCGGCGGACGTCGATCGTTAGCGGGCGCGGTATCGACCCCCGCCGGAGGGCAACGCCGCGGTCGCCCGCTACAGATCGTTATCTGATATTCAAACGCACGGCAACGACCATTTTGGTTTTGGTGCCGTTTCTTTGTGAAATGGAATGAAAGGAAACTTTTTTGTATAAGAATTTTAATTACAAAAAATGCTATTTAAGGGGACAAACTATCTCAATTAGTTCTGGTTGTAACTCATTGGTTGAATGTTAATTCACGTAATTTGAGCATGGTATTTTTGTAAGATGTTATTTGATGAACATATTAAACATATCTTGATATAGATATTAAATAAAAAATAAAACAAAAAAATCACAAAAGACGCAACAAATTCAGATAATGTTCTTCAGATTCATAAACACGCGTGTTCACACACGTACTGAACATATTTATTTTTAATACTTCTTGTACACATATTTCCACCATTCCGACTCCGAACTAAGGTATTACTTTGAATAGAAAAGTTATATTCATTATTTTACTCAGAAGAGCCTTTAGAGATTTCCATAATAATTGAAAAAATAAAGCTTAGAATATCCGACTTGACATGCTATCTGAATACCCACACTCCGTTACAACGAAGAAAAGTTTGAGGTGATGTGACTAAAGCAAGTTCTTTGAGTAAGGACAGTTTATAGAAGTTGAGGAAAACTTAAATATTAATATCCTTGAAAAGTAGCAGTGCCGATCAGGTGAATGAAATTTTAAAAAAGATGGAAAAAGAGAAAGGTAATGTAGGCAACAGCGTAGGAAAAAGTTGTAATTGCTCTGCTGACAGCTATGGATTGGGTATCCATTCATTTACGATCACCATGTACGTTAATTTATTTGGAAATATTATATGTACTTTTTGTTCTCAACGCCTCAGCGTCATAATTGATTGGTTTTTGTTATAAAATGCCGGTTCATTGAAAGTAGCGTGGCAATTCCGATTTGGGGTAATTTCGGCGGAGAGTGCGGTGGCGTAGACACGAGGTCGTGGGTGAGGGATGAGGCAGGACGGAGCGTGGCGGGTATGGGTGGGGATAAGTGGAGCGGGACCGAACAGGGCGGGACGGAACGGAGCGGGACGCGACGGGGCGGGGACGGTACGGGCGATTTCAGGTCGGGACGGGACGGGACGGGGCGGGACGAAACAGGGCGGGACGAAGCGGGGGCGGACGAAACGGGGCGGGACGAAGGGGGCGGGACGAAGCGGAACGGGACGAAACGGGGCGGGACGAAACGGGGCGGGACGAAACGGGGCGGGACGAAATGGGGTGGGGCTGGGTAGAACGGAAAGTGGCAGGGCGTGGTGTGGCGGAGGTTTGTTTGGCGAGGGTGGAAAGGCGGGGCGAGGAGAGATGGGATGGGCGGGGCGGGCGTGGAGGGAGGGGAGGGACGGCGTGGCGGAAGGGACGTAACGTGGCAGGGCTTGGCGCTGACTGCGCCCCGCGAGGCGCGACGAGCAGCGCAGCGCGGTCTGGTGGATCCGAATCGTGGTGGCGTGGCGGAGTCTCCGAGGCCCCCCGCCGGCGCGCCGCGTTGAGGCAGGTTGCCCGCCCACAGTTCTTGATTTTACGCCTCGCCGGGCGCCGAGTCTTTCGACGCAGGTGATAGGGAAACCAGCACAAGATGTGGAAATGTTGCAGGTTGTCGTTGTATGTTAGATCGGAGTGGAATGATTTTATGACGATATAAGGTTTCAAATCGCTCAATTGTGCACTAAATTACACATTTCCGCCCTTTAATGCTTGATTAATCTTTCAGGTTAAATTTATACTCCACAGAAAACATTTCCACTTAACGATAATAGATGTATGTAGTGTGCATAGCAATTGTCAATTATTTGCGAAACCTCCGCTTTCATAGCCAATCTGCGAATAATTCCTGAAACCTAGTTCTAAAATACAAGTTATTAATATAGTTTTTTGAATAGTAAGATGACGTATCAATTGTAAGCAAGTAAGATCTCATAAGAAAATAAGAGTTTAAATGTTCTCGAAAGAGCCACTCTAACGCACGCTACAATGCTCTTAATTATTCCAGGTAAACTCATTGCGTCCAAAATTCATTGTAGGTTCACTTTCATTGGTAAAAATAAAGAACATTAAACAAAGATACAATTTCTTTTAATAATTTTGTGACCAAATAAGTTTTGAAAGCGTTCATTTAGCATTGAAAACATCGATGTTGTTTCCATCATGCTTGATTCTTGCACTCGCTTGATTATTGCATGCGAACCGATTCCCAAATGTCAACTTATTTGTATGTTCTGTTCTATTTTTCTTCATGACAGTTAAAATGTAGAAGTTGGGAAGAAATGTCTGGGCACTGTTCATTTGTAATGTGACGAAGGTTCTCAATGAATAGGCATGCGTGAAAATCTTTCCTCCTTTGTCGACTCCGAGGAGATGGATGCACTGTTTTAAAACGCTGTCACTTCTAACAAAGTGAGTTTTGTTCTAAGCTAGGAAAAGCGCCTGACAAACTCGCAGGTTACATCGTCAATCGATCGTGAGAAGGGGTAAGCGATCGATCAGGTCGAAGGACGTGCTAGTAGACCAAAAAAGTAGCCAGCAAACCACACGAACGCACAGCGATGAGTTTCGATTTTTAAAGCCAGGATTTAACCTTTTCGCCATTATTGACGATGTCGACAGCCGATATTCCAGCAATAAAAATAAACTTTTTTGGCACTAACCCGAGTATTCCGGAGAAGCATAGGTCTTCTGATGGCGCCGGGCGGGGTTCACGGCCATAGCGGCGGCGGAGGCGGCCGTGACCGTGACCGCGACCGCGACCACAGACAAGGGCGCGCCACGGGTTATGACGCACGGAAGGGAAACCCCTGCGGAGAGGACGAGACGCCGCACGCTCATCTGTTTGGGAAAGAAGAAATGATGAAAGCGGATACAACTTTAAGTGATAGCAAGAAGTGGATCAGATAAAAGAAAATTACCAGAGAAATTGAGAGGTTTCAAAATACATTGCGGAAGAGATTTTTAATTAAAATTTTGTTTAAGAGTCAGACAAAACGATTTTAATTTTGATATTAAAACTTTTAATTGAATGACTTGGGACAGCAACAAGATCAGCTACACCAGCCATAGAAAATCCAGAAATGGAAAATGTAGTACAAATAGTACAAAAGTAATAGAACAAAATAGTACAAAAAATCTAAAAATGTGCTAAAGGGTGTCATAGTTTCCAAACATTCAGTTTCAAACAAATCTGATACAATATTTGGTTTTATACCCTGACCTGAATGGCGAACTCGTCCGGACAAGAGACAAGAGATCTAAGGATAATCGGGAATAATAAATTTAATTCACTTTAAATTTTACTACTAAAAATATTGGCTAGTTTTCGACATCAAATATAAAACTACACGTTTGATAGCATCCACGCGAAGCGGCTCGTCGCAGACTTGATAGAGGCATCCAAATACAGTTTTCTTTTACTTGGAACTGAATTTTCAAATTAAAATATTTTCATGAACATTTTATACAGATCGTTCTATCCGATTCAAACATCGCTAACTGTTTCGAAAAATCAAAAAAACATTGAATGAGGATATCACAATTATTTATTTTAATACTTTTCTTTATTTATAAGAGAAAAGAAGAGTTAAAAAAACATTTCATTGAAAACGGCGGGGGAGTAGTTTGTAGAACAAAGGTAGATTTTACCTGACGGGTGAAAGAGAAATGAAAGAAAAATGAAAGAGTAATGTTTTTTGCTGCGAACTAGCAGTTTCTTTTCGACCCTCATTGCGTATGCTTTCATCAACAGATTTTGATGATCGAACAACCAAACAAACACTGTTTGATTGTTCTTCTGTGGGAGTGATTAAGGATTCTGTTGTTTTTCTGTGGGAGTGATTAAGGATTTACAATCGTACAAAGTTAAACATCAAATCGCATTCAAAAATCATCCCTCATGAATGCGCTAATCAGATTTCGGCGTGCCGTAGTAGACAGCGCGTGGGTAAGTTAGTTAGTTGGGTGGGTCAGTTTTGTTCTGGGACTGAACGATCACACTTTTTAAAAAGCGATCAGCATCCGGGGCCTACAGGTACCATACATAACACGGGGTTTAAACATACGAAGAAGAGAAGACTATGCCGGTCTATGCCGCAACTATTAAACCGCTCCTCGGCCTGGCGCGGATGCGGGGCGGGGCGGGGCGAGATGGGGGCTGGGCGGGGCGGGGAGGGGCGGGGCGGGGCGGCGCGGGAGTGTCAACAACTCCTGGCAGCCAGGAAGCGGCTTTTTCCCACCGGTGCATTCATCTGAATTCATTACGCCGAAATAACGACCCCGCCGCCTCGCCGCGCGCAAACACAGACGCAACTGCCTCGTTTAAACTTTTAGCAGCGCTCAGGCCAGATTTGGGCTTGCTTCCTACCCCAACTTAAACGCATCAGAAGAAGAGAAATTTACACTGTTTGCCTGCACTTAACAAAAATTAAGTTACACCATAAAAATATGTTAAGAGATGTCTACGGATCATCAAATATTTTTCTTGCATTATCTGAGAGAGTTTCACCCAAGTTTTTCCTGATATATTGGAAATGTCTTTTCCTGTAAAATAGAGACAAATAAAAAAGATCAAATTATATTTTTAGAGTAAAAAAGTTGTGGGAATGAAAGAAGAGCAGAGGGGTTATGTTTCAAGTAAATATTTACTTATGTACAAGACATATTTCAGTTTGGAGAAAGATCTCCACATACACTCATGATATTCTGGTCTGGTTTAAGGCAGAAGTAATAAAAAAACAAGATTTCTCTGATTACTTACTAGAGTCCATGAAAAATTTGCTGAATAAGTAAGCTTAAGGTAACAGTTTGAAGAAAAGTTTGAAGAAAGTTAGTGAAAGTTGGCTTATGAATATATTTTTTTCGATTTTGAGACATTTTCTTAAAATTTATTTTATTTCCCTACCCTCTTTCATTTATTTTTTGTGCGAACCACCTGTTTTACGTCCATAACACATCAAACCTGATTTTAATCACTCCACATTTTAAAGGCGTTGGGATATGAACATTTACGCTCGAATATAGAAACAAATTGAAATAGTGAAAGTAAATGAGATTTATTTATTTACTTATTTAATTTCGAACAGAATGATATTTACGAAAAGTCTATTAGAAATGTAAATGAAATTGTACGTAAGAAATACCTCCTTTCTCTGCTAGTCGGTGAAAGGAGCGTAGCGAAATTTGCGTGGTCACACGGAAGAGCGGGCCTGATGGCCCGAGTCTCGCCACGTAAAATAAGGCAAATTCAATTCAATATTTAGTAGCATACTAGTTTCTTATCAAGAGATGTTAAATTTAAAAAAACATTAATAAAGTCAGTGTTACAAGTATATGGTAGGTATAAGGTGCGAATCTAATTATCTTCACAAAATACTATATGAGTCGATGTTCTGGGAAGTAGGAACAGCTTCCAAGGACCAACCCTTCGGACTTTAGAAAAAGGTATACATTAGTCAACACAAATTGGCTAGGGAACGGCAACTAAATGGTGCCGAGGAATAGCCGATATGTGACAGAGAGGGATCGGATGATGTGGTATTCTTACACGATTCAACGAAACCTGTCCTCACTATTCGCTAAGTATTTCAGAGTAGACGATGAAGCTCCGGCTTTCGGCCTTTGTGGTTTATACAACAACCTTGAGCCTGTAACGCATGATTTCCTATGCATTTTATACTAAAATATTTCTTGCGAACGAACAAGGTGCCTCACACTGTGACAATCGCCTTCCTTCAACGAGCGCCCTATGGCTAAAGTCGGAAATCCGAAATATACGTTCATCGACGTGTGCGAATACAGTTTTATCCACGTCATCTGGGAAATGTGCGATTTAACCGGGCAAACTTCACTTTAAGGATGGTTCGAACTTTAGCCGCAAAATACACACATTTATCCTAGAGATCTCAAATACTGAAACAATGCCATTGGTCCGTAAGGGAACGTGCACGAGAGCACACTCTTCAGACAGGCGTACCCAATGCACCCCATGCCCTCCGACTCCCTTCGCCGAGCTGTCGCGCTTCCTCCCGAGGGCGTGACGGGATGGGGGGGGGGGCAGCGTTATGCATGCGCAAACAGCCCCTCTCGCCGGGAAACAAGCGCGCGGCGAGCGCGGAGGCACGAGTTTTAATGGCGGTTGAAGTACAGCACAGGGTAATTAGGGCGCGGACAGCGATTTGTTTGCGGCCGGCGGCGCAAGAGGGCACGCGCGTCGCCGGCCATTGATCGCCCAGGGGGAGTGAAGCTGTGAGATCTAGCACGGGCCTCGTCTGGAAGAGAAATTGTGCGCCAAAGAGCGAAGGAAGAGAGGGAGAAAGAAGGAAGGAAAGGGAAAGAGAGAGAATGGAAGGGAAAAGAAAGGAAAGCAGAGAAAGAGAAGATTGATTATTTGATGTTTATGGCCACATAAACGGCTATGGCTATTATTCCCGTTAGTGTAGTACATGTTTGATAACGATATGTAGCAGTGTTTTTCCGGCGCCGACCTACAAGGCGATCTAAGCCTTTTTCCCATCCGAGTATCTTCCACAAGCGGTGCACCGCTGCAGCCGGGACAAGCTCTAGGTTCCCCACTGGTGTCCCGGCGTACGGGCATGTAAGGGTAGTATTTGTACGGGTGTGTGCAAGGCAAGAGTACATGATATGGAAGAGGAAGGAAAGATCGCGTGCGGTTCATGGCTCGTTGTTAGGGTACTACTCCGACATTCGCCTGATATTGATTTTAGAAACCACAGAAAACTACCGATCAGAGCAGTGGACCGTTAGAATTTTCCTTCAGGCAGCAGCAGAATGCGACCAAGCTATCTAGCTAGAGTCGAAAATCAACTATCGCCAGGACTCGAACCAGGACCTCTCTATCAACATTGCTGTGGAGACAGTGGAAATGCTGACTTGCAACTAAACTCAGCCGGTAGAAAGGTAAGAAGAGAGAGAGTGAGCGACACCGGCAGAGAAAGAGGGAAGATAGGTGAATACCAACATGTTCCAAGAAGATTTATCCGCAAAAATAACTTGAATCTAGTAAGCTATTAGGTTAATGACTTCGTACTTTCACATTTAAACGAAAAATATCAACAATGTGTTACTCATATTCATTGCACTCCGATAATGCTCGTCTTGGAATTATGACAGCGTATATATTGAGAAATTGACTTGAAACCAGGAGCAGAGAATCTCTATCGGAAAATACTGACTTACTATTGCATTTTTAATGGAAATGTACCAAAAACAAGCTGTCATAGAAACAAATATTGTTTTTGTAATTATCGCTTCACATAGTAGGAAAGAAAACTTTTGTAGGAGAATATAAGTACATAATAGGAGTGACAAAGTTAAAAGGATGAAGATGGAATTTTCCTGCTTTTCCATCGGCCGGGTCAGTATTCGCCAGATTAACGAATGTTGAATGAATTGATTGTTTGCGAAATGGTTTTTAAGAACAGAATCAGTGAGTGTATTAATTTTTGTAAAGAATCCACTGTGAATCTAACTACCTGTTTATTATTGTAATGAGAAACCAATGGATCATTGTAAGATGGTGGAATTGAATTGAACTGAATGGTTGGGATAATAAGGATCTGATGGACTACCATCACCATCCACACCATGAACACGCGGCAAAACTCATTAACATCTATTATTTCCAAATCGATTCTCTTTCACGTACGTATTGTCACAAATATTTTAAGCCAGACATAGTTTGCGAATGGCTCTTCCAAATAATCGAATCAACTGTCGATGTAAAAAGTTAATAAAATATGAAATGAAACTACCGGTATGTGTAGAAAATATTGAGAATGAGGATCTGGATAAACGGTAACATTTCTTAAGTTGGGACA